ATTCTTCTTTTCTCCTCTGGCTAACCAAGCTGGACAGTGTTCCAGAATACGTTTGTGAAATTGACGTTGCGTACGACCGATATTCTTTGCTCCACACGAGCAAATAAACTGATAAACACACATTACAGCAGCAAAAGCGGTATCTTGTCTTTGATGTTAGACAAAATTTACTGTCAACTGGAGAAATTTTTTAAATTTTTGATTACAGCTTGATTCCACACTGTATTTTTTGTACAAGTATGGAATTTTCAGCATGTGATATCGGCAGCCCAAATTTTGCAGGCCGACCATAGATATCAGGTGTGCGTCGGCAGGGGATCGAACCTCGGACCATGGGCATGGTCGGCGAGAGTCCTAACCACTGTGCCTTTGACGCACATTATCCCTCTGAAAAGTCTTGATATCCATTCCACCCAGTCATTATTTTGAAAATGAACTGGTCATCATGTGTACATGATGGAAGCCCTTTGATATGTAAGGTGGCTGCTCGGAATGTCTTCTTCGGACATTTAGAAAGGCGGTTTGTAAGAATTTCTACTTTGATGTCTCACCTTTGAATTACAGGTTCACGACAGTTTTCTTCAGAATAGTTGCCATTTTCGGAGACAGAGGTTTACCTTTCGTGTTTCTGGCAAAGGATTCTGATGGAAACCCGTTCTCTAGTAGGCTTTTACATAATGAATTTAATTCTTCCTTTATCGTGTCTTCCGAACATATTTTCCTAATCCTTTAACTTAATGTATGTACTAGGTTTTGCTTTCACAGTGCTACACAAAATCCCTTAAAATCGTACAAAAGGACTTCGAATACGTCATCTTTACATAGTTGAATCACTGGCTATTCGGGATTTGAAATCCGACCTCTGTATTCAAAAGCTCTCCATCCATTAACTCGGCCTAGTGAAGCCAGAGTAACGTTCTTACTATAATTTTGCTTCTATTTATTATCATATAAAAATGTATCGTCGAAGAGAAGCATATTATTTGAAACTGAGCTATATTCACAGTAGTATTGCTTATCACCACCTGTAAATTATTCACAAGTTACCAATACAGCATGTGACTAATAGATAAATATCAATACAAATAACTGAAACTTTTTCACTGAATGAACTATACAAAGGAGTATTTTTGTTTTGTTATTTTCACAGACATGAATTCCTAAGCATAAAGATGAATGTGATAAAATATTAGATTTTTCTCCATTCGGACTATAATGTTTTGAAAATAAATACATAAATAAATAATGAAAAGAGATATGTAAATTTGCCAAGTGAATAAATTCCTCATAACTAAGTGAGAATAATGAACTTATGCATAAAGATTTAAATTAGTCTCTCAGCCCACTAGTATGTGGGTGCATTCAGCATTGTGATGCATATAATATCAGTATTACTTTATAAGAAATTAAAGTTAGATAATTCAATTTGCAAGCAACAAGAATTTGTTGACAGTCTTAACCTTCTAGGGAAAGAAAAGTGTTCACATTATGAAATTCCACTGAACACGCTTTCGGAGAAACAGCTGAACATATATTACCATTGTGTGTGTTTCCTACTATCGATAATCCAAACATTTGAATGGGGAAAAAGGTATTCATATAATTCATTCTTTGTTCTTCGAGTGGAACATAGGTCTTCAACTACACACCACCATTCCATTAGGTTCTCTAAAATCATTTTCAACCGGCTCTACAGTTGCCTACAAGCCTTCGTCTCTTATCTTTTCTTGAAACGATCTTCTCCATGTTACAATCAGACCAACAGCCAACCAATCGTCTACCATACCAGTTCTACTCGAGAGTCTTTCCAGTGTGTTATATAATCGAGCGGTCTTCTCCGCGTATGTCGAATTTTACTTGAATACCATTCTGCATATTTGTTGGGGTAAGGGTGGTAAGGGTACTTGACTGATTCACTGCCAGAATTTCTTGTTGCTTATTCTTTCTGGCCAGTCATTTAATCTTCTGTCTGTCTGTCTGTTTTCGACGTAGACCTTTGCACATATGTGCACCAGTTCAAGTCGCCACACTCCCTCCTTGTAGCACACAAACCAAGAGAAGAAAGTACAAGAAAAACATAATAGAGACAGTAAGCAGAGGTGTGAGACAAAGGAAGAGTAATAACGAAGAACAAAACAGTTTCAGTGGAAATCATGTAATAAAGAAATACAAAACAATTTAATTGAAGATCATAGGTCACAAGGAGTGGTTGCATCTACGCCAGCCACTGAAAACGATTTTGAGCCATGTCACCAATTGCTTCCAACCATTGGTTTTTCCCGTCCCGAGGACCCCAACCAGGAAGTTTACACCTTCCTACGTGGCTAAGACCGGCTGTTGTAGATTTCATTGACTGGTGAAGCCAAGTTTTGGTTTGACCGCCGCTAGCTTTTTTCCAGCCTGACCCTATATCCGCTAACATCACTCGTCGAGGAAGGCGATGACTAGGCATTCATTCGTAACACGTGTCCTAACCATCTCAGTCTTTGTAACTTCACAACTTCGTCGATTGATTTCCCCTGTTTACCTAGAACTCAACCGATGCCTAACCTCAATATTGCTCACCTTATTATGCCATTTCACACAGGAAATAGAACGCAGGCACCTATGATCAAAGACAGCTAGCCAGCCTTTTCATGTCTTCCACTCTCAATGGCCAGGTCTCACAGCTGGCCATAAAGGAGGACAGAGCGGACTGATGAGCAGTACACTCGCCCTTTGGTCGGTAGTCGAATATCTCGTCTACGCCAGAGACGGCGTAAACTGGCAAATGCGAAACGAGCCCCTTGTATCCGTGCTGAGATTTCGTCAGAGATCAACGCGTTTGGGCTGATGGTACTTCCCAAATAAGTGAAGCGGTCAACGTGCTCTACCACTTCACTTCCTATTTTAAACTAGGCGTCGATGTAGTCCAGTCTTGTAACATCATCTTGCATTTGGCGGGAGCGAATCTCATGTCAAACATTCGTAGATTGAGGCTCAAGGTGTTTAGAAGACTCTGCATTTTGTCAGCGTCTTTGCCTAGAAGGACTACATCGTCTGCATATTCTAAGTCAACGAGATTATTCCCTGGTAGCAAGTCAATCCCTGGATCGCTGAAGTCACTTAGGGTTAAGTCCATTAGTACATCTATGATGAAGCTGAATAGAAAAGGCGATAATGGGCATCCTTGACGGACACCACTAGTCATCACCAGTTCAGATGACAACTCTCCGTAAGCCCTCACCTGGCTGTATGAGTACGAGTAGAGTGCCTTAATCAGTGCAATATATTTTCTCGGAATTTCCTTTACAGCCAAGCATCTCCAGAGAACCTCGCGGTCGATAGAATCGAATGCCACCTTTAGGTCAAGGAATATAGTGATTGTTGGCCGCCGGTAAAATGCCTGTGTTCTAGAATCTGTTGGAGGGTGAAGATATGATTAATACACCCTCTTCCTGGTCTAAAACCTGCCTGGCCCTCTCGTGTTTGTGCCTCCCGAGCACCACTCAGTCTACGCATGATTATTGAGCCTAGTACTTTAGATACTACATTAGTCAAGCTTATCCCTCTGTGATTATCACAGGAAGACTTGTCTCCCTTCTTGTATATGGGGATAATCAGTGACTTACACCAACCCGATGGGACTTCCTCTGATTCTCAGACGCTGCCTAGAACCTCAGTTAATGCAGACAGTAAACTATCTCCACCATACTTGAATACCTCTGGAGTCATTCCATCAGGTCCCGCTGCTTTGCCTAGTTTCAGATTGGTCACAGCTTTAGAAACCTCAGTTAAGGAAGGAGGACCTGTGTCTATATCCCATTCAGGGTGTGCTGGATGGCGGGGAGGTTCAGTGTGGCTGTAGGCAGGTTAAACTGTACCTCAAAGTGTTCTTTCCAGCGTTCGAGGCGTCTGTCCTGAGAGCTAATTAAGGAGCCATTTTTCTCAGAAATAGTCTCACTTGTGATTTGCCTTCTACCTCCCGTTTCCCTAATGAGTCTAAAGAGTTGCCTAGTGTTGCCTATCGCCGATGCTTTTTCCATCTCTTTCGCCTTTGTTACCCACCATTGTTCACGGTCCTTGCGGAGACTTTTCGTCAGTTTCCTTTTCTGTAGCTTTCGCTCCTCGTTGAATTGAGTCTTCACTATCAAGCAAGACAGGTGATGATGAAAATCTGCAACAGACTGTTAAAAATTGACTTTGATGACGCATCTCCAAACAGAGACATTAATTTAACATTTATGTTAAAAATTCTGACCTTGTTTTTTTGTGATGACTGATGTAAACCTCCAGACTGATTTCAAATTAATGAACGCTAGTCTTGCTTTCCCCAGACTGGATGGTTTCAATTTCCTCATTCTGTGCCGTCCTTATCTGAAAAGATACTGCCTATCCGCCGTGTAACTGAAAGACCCTTCTTCCTTTAGACTTCACCTACTGATGATGATCAGTCTTCGTTGAATAGATTACAGTTAACTACATGCACAAGGATACAAATGTGTTCAATAAACCTGAAGTTTCATCCCCTGTTTAGTGTATAAAAGAATTACATCCAGTTATCTGAATGCCAAAGAGATAGAGAAGGCTTATGTATACAAGTTAGAGAACCATTTGAAAACCAAGAAGTACTGTACAGATGTTTCGTCCTAGTTCAGGACTCTTCACAGAACGTATCCAATGGGGTCAGAAACCAGGATCTTCCGAAGCAAGGCGAGCTTGTAGACCATACGAACCCCTATGTATGCGTTCAGATGGAGAGTCCCAAAATGGGGCGAAACAGCTTTCCAGTAATCCCGGGTGGTTCCCAATGGTTTTTTAACTTATGTCACCTCATGATCAAACCTGTAACCAATCGAATCCCTGCAAACCAAAACTTGGTAATTATATAAATTTATTGATAACTGAACAGATTTTCACTTAAAATGTTGAATTGGCCCTTTTCTAAAACACGGTAGGATCATTGGAAAACAAAACCTTTTTACACATTTCAAATATTTAACTAAATAAATAAATATTACCTCTGTGCATTGGGTATCGTCATCCCAGTAGTTGTTTCCAATTTCGGTTGAACAGTCGGACTAATCGAAGGCATACAACTTGGTTCTGATATTTTAGTAGGTGTTAATGACCCATTTAAAAATGATGAAGAATGATTACTTGTTGTAGTGTTGCTGCCAATTGTAGAAGAAAATACATTAGATGATGAAACAACCTTTGACTTCACTTCTTCTCCTTCTTCTTCTACAGATTGTTTCGACATATCAGGCCGCTTATTCATAGTTGTGGTAGTTACTGTTGATGGTGATTGTGGAGGCATAGAACTAGCTAGCTGATCAGTATGTAGTGATGAGTTTAACTTACTAACAGCAGTATACGGTGAATTACTATTATTGAATGAGGATAATATGACTGGTGTAGTAGATTGATTTGTAAATGAACTGCTGATTGTCTGCGAATGACTTACAAAGGAACTGGACGACATTGTTGTAACTGGTGTCATTGATGTATGATGTGATAGTGAGTATGAGAAATTGTTTACTGGTACAGAAGACACAATTGTTGGAGCTTTATTCATCAGTAGTGAACTAGAAAAATAAAAAAGAAACAATCATTATAAGAGAAGTCTAAAAGTATAATCAATGTTTTTTTCGTTCCTTTGTATTCCAAGTAGAACATAGGTTTTCAGGCTTTAGGCCTGGAAGTGTCTTTAAGGTTTGCGTTGTTTTTACGGGGTGGGGTAGGTAGCCTAATAATCAACCCTCTCACTTTTCCAAGATTGCTACCATCTAGTTGACGTCTAGGAGTGCATCGGCTAGGAATTGAACCCGAACGACGTTCGTGGTTGGCCATCACTCCACCCCTCAATCACTCACCCATATTATCACAAAGAGCACTGAGAATTATAAACGCCATTCAACGTAATTTATAAAATTACAATCCATACGTATATAGAGGAGACGAAGCATACTCCTAGTACCAGTACGACGGTTCTATATGTCAACGACGAGTACACGTTAGAAGAGATGCATCAATAGGTTTTGGTTTTATACACACATGCTAACTCTCTGGTTGATTATTTTGATTTCAATTATAATAAACACAGCAGGTTTTCATTCATTTGGTAACGTTTTAGCTAAGATTTTTCATTCATAGACAGCGGGTACACACAAGCATTTCAGAGTAGACAGATAATGCAGTCCTGTTTTACCTAGAGTCATAAACTTAGTCGCCATACTGTTTGTGTTGTAGCTACATTATAGACGCGTGGATATGCAGTATAACCAACTTTACACCAAAATCGAAACGGTTACATATCATTCACTTATTCATGCACATGACAGACAGCTATGCATCTCAATGGCTACAGTGAAATAGACAATTTATGAACAACTACGTTACTTATTTTAGTAAAAACAGTGCCGCATAAAACTGTTGCGAAAACACATCAGTTGGCAAAATTAATATTTAAAAAACAAAAACAAGACAGAAACAAAGACGTCAATAGACGTCTCTAATTCAGTTAAATTAAAGTCCAGTAGTGTGAATTTGCAGAGAATACGTGGTTTTACTTAGTTAAACATGAAGACAAATGCTTTTTTAAAAAAAAAACAGACATGTGAATTTTCCCAACAGTTTCCGACAAAAAGACTGTGGTATGAATTTTGCTTTCTTTCTAATTACAACAAACAATTTTGTGCAGAGCATAGCATTAGATGTCATAGAATTTGTATCCACATTTATCGACGTAGTCTTATATATGGTATGGACTTGGTTAACTGCTTTGTTACCATTTAGAAACAGTTGACTGAATGACTGGTTTCAACGTAGATCTTTGCACAGACGTGCAGCAGTTCAGGTTGCCACACTCCACTTAGCAAGCAAAATAAGAGAAGAGAATACGGAAAGATTGAAAACAGAGATAATAAACAGAAATATGAGGCAAAAGGATAGTAATATGGAAGAACAATATAGCTTTATTGGATATTATAAATTGCTGGGGGTGTGAATGCATCTGCACCAACCATTGAGGACAATTTTGAGCCATGTCACCAATTGTCTCCAGCCTTCATCGGTTCTTAGCATTACGAGGACCCCAACCAGTGAGCAAGTCTACACCTCCCTACGTGACTACCTTAAACTAATTGTTGTGGATTTCATTGGCTGATGAAGCCATATTTTGTTTGCACCACCAGTGGCTCTTTTCCAACCAGATCTTGTGTCAGCCAAAATTGCCAGTCTGTCTGTCTGTCTGTCTGCATTCAACATAGAACTTGGCACCGAAGTGCACCAGTTCGAGTTGCCACGTTCCAAATGGCACACAGAGGTAGACAAGAAGATGGGTGAAGAGAATCAATAGAGTTTGACAAGTATAAGAGTGAAACAGAATGGGTAATGGTAGAAAGGAATATGCAAGATTACAGAGACTGAATACATCTGAGCTGGCCATTGACAACGATTTTGAGCCATGTCACCTATTGTCTCCAGCCATTGATTTCTAGAGTCAGTCCCGAGGGCCCCAACCCGGAAGTCTGCATCTCCCTACCTGACCGACTCAGTTTAACTGTCAAGGATTTCATGGATTGATGAGGCCATATTTTTGTTTGGCCACCACTGGCTCTTTTCCAACCTGCACCTATATCAGCTAGCTAGTAATGCCCGTCAGGGGAGGCGATGGTTATGCATGCACATCCCGTGACCTAGCCATCTCAATCTATGTAACTTTATAGCCTCGTCAATTGATTTTCCCTGTTTGCCCAACACTCGACGCCTAACGTCAACATTACTTACCTTATTAAACCACCTAACGTGAGACAGAGATCGCAGACATCTATGATCGAAAGCAGTCAACCTTTCCATGTCTTCAACTCGTATTGGCCATGTTTCAGAGACATAGACAAGGACGGAACGAACTGCTGAGCAGTACACACGTCCCTTGGTTGATAACCGGATGTCACGCCTACGCCAGAGATGGTGTAAGTCAGCGAAAGCAGCTTGAGCTTTTTGGATCCTTGCTGAGATTTCGTCGCCAATCAGTCCGTTGGTGCTAATACAACTTCCCAAATAGGTGAAGTGGTCAACATGTTCTATCACTTCACTCCCTATCACTAAGTTAGGAGTTGACGTGATCCAGTCTTGTAGCAGCATCTTACATTGCCAGTCGAGGAACGCAACGGCTAGACATGCGCAACACATGTTCTAACCATCTCAATCGATGTAATTTTAGAACTTCATCAATTGATTTTCTCTCCTTACCTAGCACCCCTCGTCTAACCTCAGTGTTACTCACCACATTATGCCACCTAACACGGGAGATAGAACGTGAGCACCTATGATCAAAGTTACCTAACCTTTTCAAGTGCTTCAATAAGAAACAGTTGTTTCAGCTTCACTATAATTAATGCATTTTTATTGTTGTTCTTATTATTTTTAATAATAATTATTACTATATTGTAAAGACCATAAGTTTTATACATTTTCCCTATATTAAGCGAAGTGAACATCAGATGCAAACATGAATTAGACGGTGAGAATTCCACATTAAAATAAAAATGTTGTCTGAAATAAAGCGATAATTATTACTCTTGTGATTCTATGATTTGATAGTTCAACTTCTCTGTTTCGGAACCATGAGCCACGTTTATTGCGCAAGGGGTAATGATGCTACCCAGATGCCTAGGATAAAGTAAGTGAGGTGGGATTCAACCCTGCAGATACATTAGCTGAAAGATGAGTGCTCAAACCAATGAATTATATTTCGGTTGGATGTAACAGATTTCATCTCCTTGTCTCCTTTTACAATGCTCATACTTATCAAAGATGTCATGCAAAACCTTTATATTTGACTTTTTAATTTGACTACACGTATAAAAACACTAAAGAAAAACAAATTACAACATCTGACTTTAATCGTCTTGGAATGACATTTTATGAACGACCTACATATTTAGAAAGAGTACTAACCTAAATGACTGGATCTAGAAGCAGGCACCCCCTTATACTTTCACGAGATCTACAAATATCGCAGTAAATATATTACTATACAATTAATTACTTCATATCCTATAAATTAAGTCACTGTTATCGACAGTTTCACTTTCCGCTCCGTGAATTTGTCTGACTGACTATGACTGGATTTCAACATAGAACATTGAACAAATATGCAGCAGCTCAAGTCGCCACATTCCATGTAACACACAGACGTAAATAAAACTTGGAAAAGAGAAATTCAAAAGAACTTTTAAAAATATGAGCAAAACTGTGCAGCAGAAAGAAAGAATAGCGACACGGAGAAACATGACGCTTTAATGAATCTGAGAAATCATAAAGAGGGAATGCGTCTGCGCTGGTGAAAATAAGTTTCAACCATATCACCAATAGTCTCCAACTACAGGTTCTTAGCATCTCGAGGACCTCAAACACGTGACCTACACCTCCCCAAGTGCTCGAAACCAACGGTTACTGACCTCATAGATTGATGTCAAGTTTTCGTTTGACCACCCATAACTCTTTTCCAACCCAACATTATGTCCCTAATATTGCTTGTCAAGGAAATGGGTGCACTCAGCGTTAACAACATGTGTCCTATCCATGCGAATCGTTTTAGCCTCATAAAAATTTATTTACAGTACAAATCACATACTTGTAATAAGACCACAGTCAAGTTGGTGTGAAAAGAAACCGACCACTTCACTAATTGTTGTTTGCAAAATCCCCATGTTAACAAACACCTAACCACTTTAAATAGTAAATTAATCAGAAATATTTATTTAGAATCAGTGTTTCAATAAATATAATTTCAGAAAAGTTACAATAGGCATCTGTACTTACTGTAATACTTGTTCATCACATTCGTCTAATTCAGCTTGTGCTTCACCTGCAGCAGCCAATTCAACAGGTTCTACTACAACTGCTGACACATTTTCATAATTAGCTTGTAATAAATTAGGTTGAACACTTCTTGAATGTGATGTAAATGTTGTGTGTGACATAGAAGACACTGTTGATGTAGGAGCACCAGCAGAAGCAATAGGAGTGGTAGCATCAGGATACTTCCACATCTTTTTATTATCTGTGATAACTGTGGAAACTGGTGTTATGTTAGTTGTAATACTAGTTGTGGTAGTAGTAGTAGTGACATTGACAGCTGGTGTTATTTTACTGGTCACAACAGATGGACTGGAAATGGAAGACTGTACTACTTGGACAGTTGTATTCCCTTCAATGTTTCTCTCCTGTTTTACTGCTGCATCACCTTTGTCATTTAAATCTTTTTTTGAACATCTTTTAGACTTATAATTTTTAGACGTCATGAGAAATGGTCTTGAGAAACATCTAAATCTGTAAGATACAAACAGAACATTAACAATAAACATGAGAAAAGTTTAGAACAATTTAGTATATATTGAATTTATTTTTGATTTTCCCGTCGATTTATTATTATAAAAAGCTAAATATAGAAAATGAAAGGACGTTTAAAGAAGAGTTACTCTTTCCAGTGATATCAATCTCAAGCTACACAATGATGTATATTATCTCAGTACCAACAGAAATGTTTCCAAGGTTGTCTCATTGTTAAAGGTTGTAATTGCATATCGTCAAGTTTAACTCGAATGAATAATGTAAATAAATTGAGAGTATAAAAAGCTGTGATAAAAAATACGTGAAAATGGTAATCTCCATACAGACTAATCAGCTGATTTATTCTCTTCGGGGAGACTGAGTGGAACAGTTGAAGACTTGTTAGTATAGTGAGAATTAATTCCCCTTGATTCATCAAACCTTAAACGATTGATACTCGTGATCTGCAATTTACGCAGTTCCATGTGAAATTCAATCGCAACTTCCTTTGAAAAACCAAATTATTTAGATTACAATGTATAATCTGCTTGGCTCCATAGATGGCGCATGACGCTACATACTACTAATTGATTGATATGAGTAGTTTGATACAACTCACATCAACCAATAATGCTTGCAAGACAGAATTCAGTTGGTTTACAAAGGTGATTCGCTTCTGTCAGACGAGTCAAAAACCAGGTATATCACTGATAAGTTCAGTCTTTAAGCGAGTGAAACAGCCATTTGGGATTTAGATCACGATGTGAATGGCACTCAACTACCCAGATCAATCACTGAATAGCATATAGCATAACACAAGTACTCGGATGAAATCTACACATTTATTATCTGTGACCTTAGAAATACTAATTGATACTGTCCAAACACACGGGAAAACATATTTCAGTAAAAACAAGTAGACCAGTGGGACACGACTTGATTAGCACTTCAACCAATTTGTAACAAAATAGATGTCACTAAGGTCGAGAGATAATCTACAGCTGTTGAAGTGCATTATGATAATGCATACCAGATGTTGGTTATCTTCATAATTTTATATTTCAGTGATGACATAAATCTTCCTCGATTCTTCTTCATACTACTGTATGTACTGAAAGCTGCCGATATTTCTCCACATCACAAGATTAAATAAAATGTACACAAGTGATTAAAGTGCCGTATAATTTCAAAAGTATCTCCATTGTCAGATTACGGGATTTGTATTCATTTCAATGAATTTCAAGAGAGATTTTGTCACGAACAAACATCAGTTAGAGATTACTGAAAACTAGGGAGCACTGAACAGCGCTTTTCGTCCCAGTCCGCTAGTTCTCAGTAATGCGTACTCACGAAAGCACTCAGGACGTTTAGACCCCTATATCACGCTTGTGGACCATTCATCTACTCGGCTATGGATTCAGAGACCCATGAATTCATACTCTGTAAATTCACTATACACTACAACCTCCAACTAATGCTTTCCACAAGTATCTACTTCCCCTTGACATAGTGAACCCTACTGATGCAGACTTCTCATTACAACTTCCAGATACCCATTTAGTCAGTAGCTGCCAATGAGCCTGAAACTGATATTCAAGTTATCTGTTTTGCAAGTATTTGGAAATGGTTTTTGTTCAATGTAGATTCTATCAAATTCAGAATCCACAGGTTGAACAGCTTTGATCCCTGGTGAAGTTGGAAGTCTGCACCCCTGGAAAGTCACAAATCAGGACAGGACGACTGTCTAGTGCTCACCGGTTTACAATGATTTACTCTATCTTTATTGTCTACTACTGTGGTGAGAGCAGGCTGCTAGCCAATTGGTAGACATTAATTTACGTCAATGTCTAGGTCACTAATACTAACCAAGAGAAAATATGAACAAGGCTGATTCAACAACCAATCACAGCAGACTTAGCGTGGGCAAATAAGATTCGCAAATTTATGGCTTAACTTTCCGAGAAACCAGAAACAACTAATCAGAAGACTGTGTTTGTCTGCTTGAATAAGCTATAATAATGCACATGAAATATATATATATATATATATAACGTGCTGATTTCCGTAATAAAACGATCTGTTGCCGGCCCTTGTCTTCTGTTGTTACACTACTACTAGTGAAGCAATTCTTTGCACAACCTATAAAAAACTGTACAATTATTAGTGAATACACGTTCAGATGATAACTTAGTTTTCAGTTAACTGTGACAGAATAGTGATGGTGATAATATTACTAATAAACACGTTTTATGGTTTCTCTTAATTAGTTCACTTGATAAATACAAAAAGATAAAGATTGTTATTCAAAAATATGAAATTACTAGAAGGAAAGGTCACAAACAAACAAAAAAAAGAATGATTCGAAATCTTGTTTTCTTTCTGCTTAATACCTAACTGCACAACAATGAAAGTACACTACACAAACCGCTCTAACTGTGAATAAGTAAACGGACTAAAAGAGTTTGCACTCACCTATAAAAAAAGTATTAGATTTTAGCAAGGAATGGAAAATAAATCCAAAAAGCAATAGAAATAAGGACAAACAAAAGTAGATGGATTTCGATTGACTACTAGACACTATTACAAAAAAAACAGTGAGGAGAAAGAGTGAATGAAAATAATGAAGAAAAGTGTAAACATGAAGTGCATGATGAATAAACAAAGAAAAAAAGTGGACAGGAATAAATCAATCCGATGAAGAAACGAAGAAACACCTTGTTGAAAGAAATATTTGCCAAAAAAAGCTTTCTAATATCCTAAAAACAAAACCATTAGGTTGACATATAATATATTTTGATTGGTGGTGACGAAAAATCACTCGACTCATCAGTCGAATGTACCAGAAATTCCCAGTGCTCGCACTGATACGTTATAATAGAAGTGAAAAGAAGATTTACTAGGCTTCCTTTGTTTTTCTTGACATCAGCATCATCAAAGACTTCGAAATCCAATGAGGTCTTAGAGAATTCTCTAGGAGCTTATAAGTCATCTACTCTTGTCAGCTTGAAGCTGACTGATTGTTTCCGGAGATTCTCTTACCTTCTAGTCTGGTTATCTTGTTATTCAAGTGTTGGCTTGTAGGGATTTGATTGGTTTACAGGATTTCATCATGAGCTGACATCAGTTAGAGAACCACTGGAAAACCTAGGAGTACTGGACAGTCAGCTGTTTCGCCCTAGCTTGGGACTCCTCATCAGTACGCACCCACACCACGGAGTTCGAATCCAGGACCTTTTGGTAACAAGGCGAGCTAGCTCGTATACCATTAAGCCACTGGGACCCTATCCAATGGCCAGTGCATGAATTCTAACTTCTGCCAATTCACGACACAGCGCGACCCCTAGCCAATGTCTTTGGCGAGTATTTGTCCCCACACCCAACCTGGTAGTTAACCATTAGTCTATATGACATCCGTTTTATTATTTTTTTAATGTCTGATCTATGTCAGGGTGTCTGTTGTCGCGAATTCATTTGAGTATCAGGATTCCAAGAATTCCTTAGCACTTTTAGGGTTTCCTTCGTTTAAGATTTTTACATTTTCTCACAGTCGAATTGGCGTCCTTAGTTGCCTACATGCATTGATATAAGGGGTGGACATCATAACTTTTGATGTTTTTGGGTGCGAAAACAAAGAAGGTGTCTACTGTAACCAATTTCACAGTTGTTGTAGTTTATGTTGTAGATAATGTTGTTACCATTGTAACAACAGAAGACAAGGGCCAGGCAACAGATCATTTTATTACGGAAATCAGCACGTATTTATGTATATTTTATGTACATTATTAGAGCTTATTCAAGTAGACAAACGCAGTCTTCTGATTGGTTGTTTTCGAGTTTCTCGGGAAGTGGAGCCACCTATCAGGGAATCATATTTGCCCACGTTTAAGTCTGCTGTGATTGGTTGTTGAATCAGCCTTGTTCATATTTTCTCACGGCCAATATTAGTGACCTAGACATTGACGTCTACCAATTGGCTAGCAGCCTGCTCTCATCATACCATTAACTTTTGCTGTTGCGTCTTTTATTTGATATGGTATATACTGAAGTGGTTTTTTCCTACTTTGTAGTCGACAACATCTATTTGTAAAGCTTTGAGCAGTTATTCAGTGATTTCAAAAATGTTTTTCATATATGGTAGGATGATTTTCTTTGTGTGGTTCTATTGGATGATTTTGAGTTGGTTGGTTCAGCTGAAAGTAAGTATCTTTTGATAAAGTCTTATGAGTACCCATTTTTTTCTCTATAGAAGATGGTCTCATTTCTCACCTTAATTCTCCTTGAGACAAAAACCACACTAATCACGTAAACTGAATAAACAAGCTTAATAAAAGATTTTACACTCATCTATTCGGGAAGAAGAAGAACATCCATAGCAATTTTATTAAGGATTAAATAACAAGATGGAATTTGATTAACTACTGTACTATAAGAGAAAAAAGATGCCTGAAAGGAGTAAAAAGACAATAAGCAGAAGAGAAAAGTTAAAGAGTACAGTAAGCAAACACAGAGAGAAACTGAACAGGCATAAATCGACTGAATAAGGTAGAAAAACAACACCTTGTTAAAAGAAATCACTATAATTTACAAAAACAGAAAAAGCTTTTATGTAATTGAGAGGAAATAAGGTTGATAAAGTCTATCAGTTCACTGGAACAGATTTCTGACACGTCTGTAAAGGAAGAACATGGTATTATTTGGTAGCAGAATTGTTTGTTTGGCTAAGTGATGTACAGTTATGGCTGTGTGTAGAAACACTACAGAGAAATTTTCATTTATATATTTTCTTTGCATCGGGCTTCCTTGCTCTTACTTCCATGCTGTCTATAGTGATTCATAAGGATCTTGTATTTCTCTTCTTCATAAACTAATCTGCCGTTCCGTTATTCAATGTTCTTTCAGAAGACTGCATACACTATAAAAACTACTTACAAAACCTTGTCAGTAGCACAAGCCAACATTCCATGCTATCTGCCACACATTCTGTGTAACCACTAATGATA